GGCTAATAACCGGAATAAGAACACACAAAGTTTTCAAAAATAGATATCATGGTTAGTAGTGGCCGATCTTTGACCGGGCGAGCGGGGGTGCTCACGAAGTGACCTTCCCCAATCGTACCCAAGTTCCCGAGCCGAGGCAACTTTGGTGATGACGGACACGTGGCCTTAGGCAAACGAGTCAGGGTTTCCTAAATTTTTCCAAAATAAAACATTTAGGTGGCGACTCTGTATCTGGCAAAGCAGTCCATGTTTGGCACTTCTTTTCAAAAATCTGTTTCTTAAAACGATTTGTCGGATTTGGACTCTTTGGTTCAAACTTAGAACCGCGACACAAATCGAGTCCGAACTATAGTAGCGGGGTCCCTCGCGGACGCGTCTACAAGTAGTTTGTGGCCACTAGAATGAAATAATGTTGCTTCGAAGAAGGGGTAACTTTTCCCTATCATGTCCATTGCCCACACCACTGCATGTATATTAGTTATTGGAACATGCCTCATCATACTGTGCTTCTGACATGCTCAGTCCATGTTTGGCACTTCTTTTCAAAAATCTGTTTCTTAAAACGAATTGCCGGATTTGGACTCTTTGGTTCAGACTTAGAACCGCGACAAATTTGAGAGTCCTGAGCTGTAGTGACCCCAAATGAACGGAACGGGGGCTCATTCCTCCCGGGGCGTTCGGGGACGTCTACAAGCGCGCGCTGCCTTATTCATCAAGGCAGTCGCCAGGGTCACTGCCTCCATCTAGGCTGAGCAAAACCCTCTCAGTAGATCGGCCTCTGCCAAAAACGCGCCATCGACTGCACCGCTGCATCCTCCACTACCCCAACCAGGCGGTGGGTTACGACCCTGGCTTTCCCCCCTTCCGCCGAGCGACCTGCTAGCGCGTGCGCGTGGTATAAAGCCGTCGCCAGCGCGGCACTCGTCGCTGGCTTGCTGATCCCAGTCTTGCCCTCGCTGGGACATGAGATTACTTTTGGCGCAGGTGCCACCGTTGGCACCATAGGGGCACTTAGGCCCAGGTCTTCCTTAGCCACTTGGGCGGTCTCTTTTTCTGAAGCCTCCTTCACCTTTCCCTCCTCCAACTTCTCCTTTTCTGGAGCCTCCTCCGTCCTTCTCTCCTTTAACTTTTTCAAAACTGGGGCGTCTTTACTCCCTTCAACTACCGCTCTCTTTTTTTTTGTTCTCTTCAGCATTGCCTCCACCTCTTGTTTGCCCCTCTTTTTCAGTGGGTCTACAGATGGTGGCAACGGGGCAAAGTCAGTTAGGTTTTTGTCCCTCAATGGCTTGGGATGCGGTCGGACCCGTTCCCTTATCACTAGTTTTGGGGCAGGCCCCAACTTTGTCTCCTTATATATGTCCGCTTTGGCCAACACCCTCCTTTGTTCCACCTCCTCTGCCTTCCTCCGCTCCTCCAGCTCCTCCCTCGCTGGATCCGTCTTCGTCGGCTACGGTCCCAATCTCAGGGCAAACAAGGTTGAAGGAAGGACCAGCTCATCCCACCTCACCCCTTTCTCCTCCCTCCACTCATTCACCTTCTTCACCCTATCTTCAGCCGCCACATCCAACTTTGGCTCCACCGGTTTTGTGGGGACTTTCCCTGTTGTGTGAACTCCTCTCCCACTGTTCGCTGATACAAAAAATCATCTCGGTCTCTACCCCTTCAACGAGGATAGCAAGCCTGCCACTAGACCCCAGCCCGCCACTACCTACAAGGTCACCCACGTCTCCTGTTGGCCCGAGGCTTTGTAGCAAGAGAAGAACTCCTCCACTATCATTTGCGCCCCCCGTAGCCTACGGCCAGGCGCTCGCACAAGCCATTAGTATTTTCTAGGCGTTCGGCATCAACTGCCCTGGCGCCATCTCTAACTTATTGAGAACATCCACCACTACTTGGGGGAGCGGTAGCCTCAGACCCCCTTGCAGCACCTCTTCGTATAGCGTGAACCCCGTCGGCCGTGCATCCGACGCCCTCTCCTTCAACGTGGGCAACATCAGCTCTATCTCCGTGGGGATTTGGTACTTCCTTCGTACCTCCTCCAACTCCTCTGCCGTAAACGTAGACCTGTCGGCTTTGGTATGCCAGTGATCCGGCTCCACTTGGCTAATCGGCTTAGCAGCTACGATCATTGTCGTCGGACAACCTCGCACCGCTTGACCAACTCCCCTCTCCTCCCTTCGCTCCACTCGATATTGTTCCGCCAACTCCACCGTGTCGTCATCCCCCAACGAGTCAAGCCTTGCAGCTGGCACTTCATCTCGGGCCATTTCTCCTACGTGTCTACATATTACTTTGGACGCTGGCACAATGAAGTTCGCAAAGTGTTGCAGAAGCGTGTCACACGAGACAAATGAGTTCATTTTAGGGATATGTTGGTTTTTTGCGATAAGGTAGGTAAAGCGAATAACTCCAAATGCCCACGGTTTGCCTATATTCTAAGGGTCAAGATTAAATTTCGCCAGTTTGAAAATTTTCAAAAACTCCCACCCCTGTCTTTTCATTGCCCTATATTACCTTGTCCCTTCACTTCTTACTAACGCGTCACCTCCCACATTAAAGGATTATGCCACGTGTACGACAACAATCCACTATTCTCTTCACCTTCCCTGTCTATTCCACTTCACATCACCACGTGCCCCGTTGCTCCTTGAGCCCCGCGCACCGTCATTTCCCCTTCTCACTCGGTCACCCTTTGCGGTCGGCCCTCCTCGCAGTCAGTCCTTCCACTCAATCAGCCCTCGCGGTCGATCCTCTCACTCGATCACCCTTCGCAGTCGACCCTCCTTGCGGTCGGCCCTCTCATTCGGTCACCCTCTGAGGTCGGCCCTCCTCACAGTCGACCTCCTCACTCGGTCATCCTTCGCGATCGGCCCACCTTCCGGTCGGTCTTCTCTCCGTCGACCTCTCACAACCCCTGTCTTCTTTCTTATTCCCTTCGTTAGTCTAAAGCTGCACTTGGAAATAGGGGACTACTGACATAAGTAGGCTTATAGGAGCTTTTGGCCCACCACTTAGAGCCCAATGCATAATTTAAATACTAAAGCCCAATGTTGCTGGAGCCCAACGTTGCACCAAGGACCAATGACACCTAAACATGTGTTAATGGAAGAACCAGCCATGTCAGCAGACAAAGATCCTGCAGAGTTATTGCACCACACATCAACCATTAATGAAGTTCCCTGCAGCATTTATTACGATAACCCCTTTACGTTGGAACAGAACAGCCACACCATGAACAAAGCAAGCTAGAACATAGGCTTTCGGCCAATATGACAGGTCGGAGTGGACAAGGAAATGATGAACAAATGATATAAGCAGGTAAGACGAAGGGAAGATTAAGTTCTTTATCACCATTCTATCTTTACATTCCATCACTCTCTCTTTTCTAACTTGCTCGTCGGAGGATTCGTTGGGGGACTCCCGTTCCCTGTTGAACTCTTGTGCAGGTTTCTCAATGAACCTAAAAATCGGACAACGATGTGGGAGGCGTGAATCAACCCGACCCGTTACACAGAAACAAGGAGTATCATCAATGTCAAATTATGACTTTAATATTTCCATTTTGGAAAATGATTTGAAGCCCTAAAAAAGCCCCCCCTAATTCGGGGGATTAGGAGGGGGAGAATTTCGGGGACATAGCACGGTCCTTCCATTTTAGCAATGATAAAGTGGAGTTACACTCAGCTACGATAATCATCACCGAAGAAGGATCCTAGATTATCGCCCGGGGGGAAATATTTCCAAAAAAAATAATAATAATAATATTTAAAAATTAAGAGGTTAATATGTTAGTGGGTTGGGCCCTGGCAATAGGTTGTTGGATTCATTAGCTCTTTTGGCCCCGTTTGTTTTGGGAGATAGAATAGAGGGGATTAATAGTGAGGAATTGTTAAATTATTTTTATATAAAATAATAAAATAAATAAAAAAAATATAAAAAATTAAACATTATATTTAAAAAAAATTCCCAATATATAAAAAATAAAAAAATTTCTAATTCCCTCACTATTTTTCTAATATCATCTCTACCTCCCCTTACCAATCCCCCTTCCAAGGAGACTACTAATACCAAGGGACTAATAGTCTCCTCCCCATCTCTCAAAACAAACACCCTCTTTAGTAATACCAAGGGATTGGTAATCCCAATCTCCTCCCTATAACCCCAAACAAATGTGGCCTTTATCTTGTTGACTATAATAAATCTGACATAGTGTTAGCTTGACACGTGGGTTTAAATTAGGTTAGGGTTATTTTAATCAAAAATAAAATAAATAAAATAAAATAAAACAAAATAATTTTTTTCATTTCAAGTTAAAAGTTATCGCCTTTAAATTATAATCATTATATATTTTTTTTCATAAAAATTTAAAAGGTCAAAAAATTTATTTTAAACGAGACTATTTTAGCCTAAAATAAACAAAAAGATTAAAAATTAAATAGTCAATCCATATCCCAAACCAAATCATAAAATAAAGGGTAAATTACAAACACATCTCTTGAGCTTTACTTAAATATAAATTACTTTTTATAGTTCTAGAAATTACGCTATACCCCTTGAGATTTTTAATTTCATAACAAATAAGTCATTTTATTAATAAATTATCAAGTTAATTAACATTTTTTAATAATGTTAAAATTTAATTTCAATTAATAATTCAGATAATTTTATTATTGTATGAGTAAATAGTTAGAAATTTTATTTTTTCAATTAATTCTGTTAAATAAAAAATTCTGACAGTGAAATACTTTTAATTTTTTAAATCACAAAAGATAATTTATATTTTAAACAAATCTGAAAATAAAACTTATCCGGGATGGATAAGAAGGTACGATGGGGTGGTGTCATACTGACACGTATACACGAAGTCGGTATTAGTACTAGGACATGCCACGTACAATAGCTCATGACGACACGTGGCAGCCTCCAACAACCCCAAGTTTTTGGCTGACACATATACTACAACATAAGACTATAAATACTACTCTACATAAGACTATAAATACTAGTCTCAAAACACTGGTTATTTATTTATCTGCGATTTGAGAAGCTTGAAAAAGCTTGCTAGTAATTCCTAATAAAAAGGGAGGACTGATCGGAGAGATGTCGGGGGCGCAAGGAGCTCAGCCGCCGGAGTGTAAGACGGCGACGACGTACGAGTCGGTGGAAGGAGGCCAGAACAAGGCCAAGCTTGACCTACGATCCAACCAAGATGAGGGCGGAATCCAGGTCCAAAAACTTGAGGAGAAGGTCCCGGACGCCGCTGCCGAGGGTGGGCCGGTTTTTGGAGCCGGAAAAGAAGATGACAAGCAAGATTTAGGTGTCACTGGGACTGCTTGAGCATTCCATATCCATTCGATATGTATGTTTATGATGTGGTGTTGTGTCTAGAAATAGTTTCTTTTGATGGTGGTGGTTGTGTAGAAAATGCAAAATAACAAATGAAACTCCTTTTGTTTCATTTTGTCTTATTATATGTATCAGTCGAGTGTAAGTCACGTACTACCTCAAAAACAGGAGTAAAACTTCAATTTGGAGATATTATTACGGTGGTATCATTATCTAATAATATAAAATTTAAGATTTTTGCTTACAATCATAAGATAAAAATTATAAGACTAAAGTGTTACTGATTAATAAAAAAGTTATAAATATTTTGATTTGAAAATTTTGAGAAGAGATTTGAATGTAATCTAATGTTTACTCCCAAACATGATCTATTATAATGCTCTGAATAATGATATCATCAGGTAATCTAATGTTTACTCCCAAACATGAGGTTAAAGTGGCAAAATGTAATCAGTATAAAAAGGTTTGCATATTTTTCAGAAACTTATTAAAAGGAGCTCTGTGTGACTAGCATTTTTATTTATTATTATATTATTATTTTCATTTATGTATTATCAACATCCATATTTTGTCCTCTTTTTTGCAATTATGATAGAAACCTCACACTTATACACTACAACAAAAAGTAATTTTAACGACTAAAAATATAAATTTTGTCGCTGAAAGTAGGATAATTAACGACTAAAATTGAATTAGTAGCCAAAAGTGAAGACTTTTGGCGACTAAAACAGTTTAGTAGCCAAATGTATACTTATTGGCGACTAAAAATCAGTTTAGTCGTTGATTATATGAGTTTTAGCGACTAAAACAATTTTAGTAGCCAAAAGTGAAGGTTTTTGGCGACTAAAAGAAATTAGTAGTCAAAAGCATAGGTTTTGGAGACTAAAAAATGGTTTGGTCGCCAATTGTAGGGGTTTTACAGACAAAAAAAATTTTTGTAGCCAAAAGTAAAGATTTTTGGCTACTAAAAAAAATTTAGTAGCTAAAAGTGGACAATTGACGACTAAAATTGAGTTTAGTCTGCAAAAGTGGTGGCTTTGGCGACTAAAAAAAAATTTAGTTGCCAAAAGTGGCTCCTTTTTTTTTTAAATAAATAATTTATTTTTTTACATAAATTATATTGAATAAAAATAATTATGTTTATATATATAGTTTAATATTAATATGGGTCAATATACTATATAAATAATATATTTTGCATATATATTCATGTGGTGTTATTGTGGCATAGTGAAGAGAGTGTGTTGGTAGAGGTTTAGAATGTGGAAGGTTAGTGGTTCGAAACTTGGAAGAGCAAAGGGTAATTTTTTTTCCTTCTGAAATAAGCTTTTGGTGACTAAAACGGGTGGTCGCCAAAAGCTTCAGTATTGGCGATGAAAAAAATAGTCGGCAAATGTATAAATTAAAAAATAATAATTCAATATTGACGACTAAAAATTTAGTCGCTAAATGCATAATTTAAAAAATATAAATGAGCTTTGGCGACGAAAATTTTAGTCGCTACAGACTTGGTTTTTGGGCGACTAAAAGTTTGTTAGTCGCCAATACCTTTCGCGACAGTTTTCCAGCGACCAAGCGGCGACTAAAAAATTTAGTCGGGGAAACTTAAAATCTGACTTTTGACGACTAAAAATTCACTTTTAGCGACTAAAAATTTAGTCGCCAAATGTGTTTTTTCTTGTAGTGGTTTGTGAGTATTTTATTTTATTCATCTCTCTCGGATTTGTAATATTTAAAGTGTTGTAATAATCCCTTACCCTGCTTCTTTCTATCCCATTCTTTAATAGCTTTTCCTAACTGCAAAAATTTAGTCGGGAAAACTTAAAATCCGACTTTTGACGACTAAAAATTCACTTTTAGCGGCTAAAAATTTAGTCGCCAAATGTGTTTTTTCCTGTAGTGATATATGACTCTCATAACCAGTGGCGAAGCCAAAAAATTAAGGTAGAGGGGACACTTTGTAATTCAATTTTTTTTTTGTGATCAACAATAAAATAATAATAATTTTATGAGCTAAATTTAAGCATAAAAATTTAATTATTTATTATTAATAACAACTAATCAAAATTCTATAATAATGTGAAATAACTCAAATACAATAGTAATGTAAGTATGCAATTTTAGCACAAAAAATTACAAATTAAAATTCTTAATTTTAGAAAATAGAAGCAAATCATTTACAGCACAAATCATTATAAAATTTCTATAATTTTTATTTGATAGAAAAATATTAGAGAAATAGTATTGACTATAAAAATTTGTTTTGAATAAAAATTATTAGATAATCGTAGAATATTATGTGGCGTTGATGACGTGGTGTTTTGGATATAAAAAATCACAACTCACACTAAGTGATTCACCTATTATTTTCAAATTACCTAACAATAATGAGTTACTAAGTTCCATTAATAAAATTTGACACTATATTATTAATTTAGTCTATCACATAAATAACATCGTATGACGCTCCAAGAGTACTAAATAAATTACATATTGTGTGTGAACAATGCAACAACAACAACCAAAAAACATATATATATATATATCAAAACTGAGGGTTCGAAACTTGGGAAGAGCAGAGGGTAATTTCTTTTTTCTTGTGAAATAAGCTTTTGGCGACTAAAACGGGTGGTTGCCAAAAGTTTCAGTATTGGCGACGAAAAAAATAGTCGGCAAATGTATAAATTAAAAAAAAAAATAATTCACTATTGGCGACTAAAAATTTAGTCGCCAAATATATAATTTAAAAAATATAAATGAGCTTTGGCAACGAAAATTTTAGTCGCTACAGATTTGGTTTTTGGGCGACTAAAAGTTTGTTAGTCGCCAATACCTTTCACAACAGTTTTCCAGCAACCAAGCCGGCGACTAAAAAATTTAGTCGGAGAAACTTAAAACCCGACTTTTGGCGACTAAAAATTCACTTTTGATGACTAAATTTTAGTCGCCAAAAGTGTTTTTTCTTGTAGTGAAATATGACTCCCATAACTAGTGGCAGAGCCAAAAAATTAAGGTAGAGGGGACACTTTGTAATTCAAATTTTTTTTGGTGATCAACAATAAAATAATAATAATTTTATGAGCTAAATTTAAGCATAAAAATTTAATTATTTATTATTAATAACAACTAATCAAAATTCTATAATAACATGAAATAACTCAAATACAATAGTAATGTAAGTATGCAATTTTAGCACAAAAAATTACAAATTAAAATTCTTAATTTTAGAAAATAGAAGCAAATCATTTACAGCACAAATCATTATAAAATTTCTAGCCACGTGTCTTGGTCGTTGTGCCGAGGTCATTTCGGCTAGGCCGAGGTTGCCTTCGAAGATATCGGAATCCGAGATAATCGGATAAGGGACAAGAATCCTAGAATGAAGAGGGAACTCAACTTGGATATGGACAAGAGTCCTAGATTGGGAGAAGACTTCAGTTTGGGTAAAGATAAGACTCTTAGAGAGTTTATCCTAAACCCACTAAGAGTCCCAGGTTAGCAGTAATCCTAAGTCCATTAGGGCCAGGCTCCTATTGGGACTAGGATTGTATTGGCTATAAAAGAGAGGCACCCCCATGGGTCTAAGGTATGTTTTTGAAATTATTAGATAATCCTAGAATATTATGTGGCGTTGATGACGTGGTGTTTTGGATATAAAAAATCACAACTCACACTAAGTGATTCACTTATTATCTTCCAATTACCTAACAATAATGAGTTACTAAGTTTCATTCATAAAATTTGACACTATATTATTGATTTAGACCATCACATAAATAACATCATATGACGCTCCAAGAGTACTAAATAAACTACATATTGTGTGTGAACAATGCAACAACAACAACAACAAAATATATATATATATATATATATATATATGTGCTCTCTAGCTGGTTACTAAGCGGGCAGTGTGGTCGGAAAATCACCCACACAATATATATATATATCAAAACTGAGGAGGGCACGTGACCCCCCTCATCCAGCTATGGCTCCGCCACTGTCCATAACCCTCATTCTCATTCCAACCATTCATAATGTGGGGCTCACACATACATAAGTAGACCCTACATACACATCAAGAGCTAAGATCAAATTGGGGATAATGAAACCCCCCAAATAAGGGTCCAAACATTTCCATTCTTTGACCTTGCACAAAACCAACCACCAAGACCACCGCCAGCAGTAGCAACAGGAATTGAATTTAGGAAAATTTACCAATCAGTAGTATCCTCTAAAAATAATTAGAGATTTATAATTATAAAAAAAAAAAATTGACTTTAAGATTGACTACAAACTTCTAATTATTTTAGAAGAATACTACTAATTTGTTTTTTCCGATTGGATTTATATGTGGCTTGTTTCGTACTACTAACAAATACAACTTAAAACATCAAAATATTCTAGTTTCCTGACAAAGTAAAATGTCAACAAGATCCCCTACTAGGCTAAGATTGAAATAGTCTTGTCAAAGTGATTACAACACAGTCATAACAGTTGGCCCTTTTTGCAGATATCCAAATAAACTGTTTGAAAAATGTGTTGTAGCTCGAAAGTCATTGCCCCGAATGGCTCGATTTTCCGAAACGATCACGTTTTGACTTTTTTTTCTTTTCCTTTAATCCCTTCCACTAAAAAGTTGAACCAAAACAGAGAGAGAGAGAAATAGCGGAGGAAGAGACAAAATAGAGGAGGGCCATTCGGTTTTCCGAAACGACCACGTTTTGACTTTTTTTTCTTTTCCTTTAATCCGTTCCACTCAAAAGTTGAACCAAAACAGAGAGAGAGAGAGAAATAGCGGAGGAAGAGACAAAATAGAGGAAGAGAGAAAGAGAAGGAGGAGAGGAGGAGAGGAGAAGAAGAAATTGCTGTTTTGGTCTTGTTTTTGCCAAATTGCTACTGTTTTGCTGCTGTTTTGGTGTTGTTTTGATGCTGAAATTGGCGCTTTTTGGTGATGAAATTGGGGCTGTTTTTGTGCTGAAATTGGGCTGTTTTTTTTGCTGAAATTAGTGCTATTTTTCTTCTTCTTTCTTTTTTTTGTTCGGCTGATTTTTCTGTTGAAATTGGTTTTGATTTTAGATTTAAATTTAGATTTTGGGTTTGATTTTTTTGGGCTCTTCTTCTTCTTCTTCCTCTAATTTTTCAGATTGCCCAAGGGAAAGGAAGAAGAGGAAGCAAAGAGGGAAAAAAAACCAATTGGTTTAGATTTTAGATTTTGATTTTGAGTTTTTCTCAGATTTTGCTACTGTTTGATATTTTTGGGGCTCTTCTTCTTCTTCTTCTTAGTTTTTTAGATTGCCCAATGGAAGGAAGAAGAGGGAAAGAAAAAAAAAGTCAAAACATGGTCGTTTGGGAAAATCAAGCCATTCGGGCCAATCAGTTTTCAAGCTACCTAGCAGCTCCAAAACTATTTATCAACTTATTTTAAAGTTGATTTTTTTTTATACGTGTTTTTCTAATATATAAAAAGTCAAAAAATAAGTCATATTATCACCTATTTAGGACTATTTTGAAAAAAATAATTAAAAACCATTTTAAATTGCATAATCTCTCACACTTTTACATGTTTTTTTAAAAGAATTTAAAAATCAACTTTTGACCATTTTCCCAAAACATCTTCCCAAAACAACCCTTAACTAGACATGAGTTAAAAAATATTCCACAGTATGTTATCTTAAAACTTAGAACAATAAGCATTGCACACACTGACAACAACATTGGATTTCATTAATTTCATAACCACTAGTTCCACCATACTTGCTCGAATGTTGTTTGCTAATGAACTCAAAAGTCACATCAAATATCATACATACAATAATACCAACATGTACACATCATATCATATGCTTAAGCTGTCCAGGGATATCGTTTATGCTGTGTTTGGTTAAAGGATTTAATGAGAGATTTGAAAAGAGAAATAAAAAAGATAGGTAAAATATGAATAAAATATACTTATATTTCACCTAATTTCACATATCTTTTCCCTTTCCTTTTTCAAATTCCTCTCTAAATCCCTCAACCAAACACAACGTTAAAGAAATGGCAAACGAGAAACTTAAATTAGAACATTGTGGTGCACCGGCTTCTTCGATACACACAGCTCAAAGGAAAGAAAATATATATTACTCACAAGCCAGTTTCGTACCAAAGCTGGTGAGGCAAATGGCGAATGCCTGGAATGCTGACAAGGGCTGCCTATAATCCATTGTGAAAGTATCGTCTCCTACTTTCCCAAACTGGAGGAGAACTGTTTCCTCATCCCCTTTCCCTCCTGGCTGGCTCTGATCTATTGTCGCGACCAATTGAAAGTTTTTAACAGACGCAACCGTCACACGACCGTGGAAATTCAAGCACCAGCACTGCAAGTGCTCGTGCCATCTCGGAGCTTTGTTCCTCAATACCGTGTGTCCAGAGAGAGCCAACTCTGAATCTTTCATCTTAGAGTTGTCCTCGTGTTTGATGGCGTCGGCCGACAATGGGCTTGATGGGCATTGAAGGGCACATATCATCCTCCTTGGGCCTCTCGACTTCAAGAGGTTGAACTTGTAGGAGATCTGCCCGACTTCAAAATTGCCTGCTGAAACCTGGGGACTTATTTGCTTGCTTGCGAAACGACGGCTAGATCGGCTACTTGACGGCTTCGCACCACTGTGTGGGGGCTGGCTATCGTAGATTGTGAAGTTGGTGCCAAGGAAATCCGAACTGCAAAGAACAGGATTTTATCTGAACAAATTAGTGGAAACAGCAGGGGGGGAAGAAAGAAAAAAAACACAAAAAAAAGGAGAGGCCATTGCAATGCAAATAGAAATACAGAGAAATCCTTCATCAATTATGGAGGGAATATTGAACATCCATATTGTTGTTTCATTTCTGCCGGATGGGTGATTCTATCAGCATAGATATGGAAATTGTCTGCCCAAATGTGCTTCAGCAGAGGATATCATCAGGTAAGACTAACCTATGCCAAAATATTGTGTAGAAATTATGAATTTATGTCAGCAGTGTCAGGTAGAAGCAGCAAACCACTAAATGGACTTCAAATAAGGATTTTTACAAAATTCTTAAATTTCGTTTTGTAGGTACATGAGTCCATTGGCCATGTGGCATGACCATGTCCACACTCACTTCATCTCCCCCGCGTGCTTGGGTCTCTTGAAGTGACACATGGATTCTCATATAACAAGTGTCATTATTGTTCCCTTCCAGAATGTAGTTATGTCAGCCCAGACTAACACACACAGTTCCTGTCTCAGGTTAGGCAGTCACAGACTCCTGAGGCACTCCAGCTATCCTCCTTGGCTTGGTCAGGTCAGACCCTGATCAAGTGGCACCTTTCCGCTCAGATTGACTGAGGGCTGTCACATGCTCAACCCCCCCTGCTTCAGTAGAGTGAAAATTTGCTTGAGCAACCTCTGCTCGTTATGACGAGCTTGACCCCCTTGGCTCAACAGGGGAAGACCTCTATTCAAGCGCGTCTCTTTCTCTCTCCTTGTGAGCACACATTTGCTCCCCTCAGCTCATGCAGTGGCTCTCCACCCTACCATGTCTGTCCTATGCCTCATAATCCCTCATCTCCAATGACAATCTAAACCTCAAGGTTGGTGCTGCGATTATGGGATGTTCAAGAGCTACCCAATGCCCTGTGCATGGGGACTATGAAGTCATAAGGCTTGACTTTTACACTTGAGGGTTTGTTAATGTGCTTGTCTTGCATAACTTTGAGGGATTTGCACATTGGCCAACCATATAACCTAAGACAAAGGCACATGGTGTGTTTCATACCTCTCCATACCTGAGTAGTATTCCCCATTATTATCTCTGCAATTCAGGCCCTTAGAAGATACCGGCTCCAATATTAGTATAGAACATTCCACTAACAGTGTCAGACCAGGAAAAGCCACCCAGCTGTCCCTCTACCAACAGCCCCTAGCACGTGTGATGAGCTGGCCCATGGTTTGGTTTCTATATTACAGTGACCACCATCCTCCAAGCAATCTCCCCAGTCTTCCTCTCTCCCCTAAGGCCACCTAGCTCTCACTCCATCCACCTCCGGCAGTCCTGCACCTCGTATGTGTGTTACCATATGCTACTTAGAAGGCTCCCTAAATTGTCCTACTCACCTCCAACCATTCATACATTTAAAGATAAAAATTCTTTGAACTAGTCACTAGGCCTGAAAAAAAATTCAAAACAGTTGGCATCTGCTATGAAATTACGTGATGGAATTCTATATAAAGGTTTTATGACTCAAACCGCGAATAAGATTAGCCGTATTCAAACAAAAGAAAGCACAATAATACACAATAGCTCACCATAACAAAACAAGGGGGAAAAAAAAAAATTTATTTCTATATTACATTTTTCTGTAGGAATGCCTTACCTTAATTTTCCAACATAGGCATTACTTCCTTGGGATATGTCGTCTGCATCAAGTGATATAATGTACTCAGTATGAGCACCATTTCTACACCTTCGTGCTGCTAGGAGAAACTTTCCCTTGTCTGTCAATGCTGCCAAAAATACACAATACTTCAAGGTTTCAAATCATTGAAGACATCAGGAGAAAAATAAAATAAAAAAAGGAGAACCACTGCAATACATATGTCAAATAAATCATGACGGACCTTCAGCTGGCCAAAGAACCTGATATCCTAAACCCAATTTTTTTTAGACTCCAGAGCACACACACATATATTGGTAAAATTAGCTTTTTGCATTATCAACTGCACCTTGGAGTATATGCCTTAATGAAAATTGAAAGGCAACCTATCAACATTATCGAAGGCCATTAATTCCATTTGAAACCTTCACAAATTTTGCCAACACAAAGGCCATGCACAGCAACTTTCAAATGGCTAGTTTTGAACTTGGATGATACTGCTCAGAACTTGTGCACTGATTAACTCACATTTGATTATTGAATGAGATGGTTGGTTTCAAGCGCCAAAATTGTCCACTAACCCATCCCATACTTACCACAAACAGGTATCATATTTTCTAATTTTGGTGCAGTTCAAAGAAAATGCACTCTATGACTTGTGAAATTTAAAATAATTGGTAGATCAAATCTTGTAAAGAAGTTTAATATTTCATACAACACAATTTTTTAACAAATCCCACTATATCCTAGTTTATAATATGAAAAATCATCCGCCACACAATATTCACAGCCAACTCTTTAATGTCTTGCCTCCAACTGCAGACAAGAAGGAATTAGGATTTGTAAAATAGTTTTTGAATGTGATGAAACCAGCCAAATCAACAGCTTAGATTTTTGAATTGACAACCAAGTCTTATTTAAGACCCTTTTATATATATATATATATATATAAACCTTCTTAGAATTTTAAATAAATGAATTCTTGCATATGTTTGTAATTTCAGACACTTGACTAAGCAAATAACTGACACCATCTTAGAATTAACATTGAGGATTGAAAAAGTGATAAATGCACCTTACTAGTCTTGATAAGTTATAAATTGAGTTCTTATCCAGGTCAACTAATTCAACTACAAACAAGTAAAATTTGAACTTCTGGTAATGGAATCACTTTAATCTAATTGAGTAGCTCTGCTGGAGATCTAAACATTTACATATATCTACTTACATGGGGTAAGACCAAGATAAAGGTAAAAAGTGTTTTTCTTCTTGTTCCGTCTTATGAGACACTGAAGAGGAGAATCACGGGGACCCGGCTGCCAAAAAAAAAAAAGAAGATAGTTAGACCATCAACCATTGCAAAGCTAAGAACTTCTCCATCCGCCAACCATAATGATGATAGTCAATATGTCCATCCAAGAATTTAAGATGTCAAATGAACTACCAAGAAACAACCACTCAATGAAATTCCATAATCTACTTGAAGGGTTACAGTGTCAACCACAAAGCAACCACATGAAAGCAAAAACCCAAAAAATATAATGGGGGAAACAAGGGAAGTTCTTGCACTTAATCATTTGCTACGAAAAACATAATGTTTCATAGGTTTCCCACACTAATCACATTGAAGGAATTTAATCGAACAAGTAATTCTAGAATGAACATCTATTTCTACAATCTTCCCTTACCATATGGTGTGTCGGTCTAATTGTCAACATTACATTAGAGATATACACTAATATTGGATTCAGTACGCTAAAATGGTATATAACTGTAAGCATAGCATTATTGTGATTGAATTTAACGCAATGGTCACTCAACAGATTTTTATTAGGAAAAAAAAAATTAGAACAAAACGATGCCTATGTAACCGAGGCATAACTATTTTGAAGACCCGGATCAAATTGTTTCGCATGCTTAGATGCCACTAACCACTCCACTCCAATTTTTCACATATATGGTTTAATTTTTATGCCACTAACCATATATATATAGCTACATTAGAAGATTCAAAGTTTCAATTTTGTGCTAATTCCCATGTTGAAGAATTTTGGGCAAATTACATATATCTCCCTTGAGGTTTGGCTAAATTACAGATACCCCTGAGGTTTCAGAAATTACATCCCGCCCCCTGAGGTTTGTATTTTCATAACAATTTGACTCCTGAGGTTTAAATTTCATAACAAATTACCCCCTAATTTGTTATGCAAATATAGCATTCAGGGGGAATTTGTAATTTCTCAAACCTCAGGGGTATTTGTAATTTAGCCAAACCTCGAGGGTATATGTAATTTGCCCAAGAATTTTTTTAACAAAAAAAAAAAAAATGAAATGTTGATTGAATCAGATACGTAAATGTAAACTCTTCAGACAAAAGATCACAAACGCAGAAATTGTACAATCAACTACCGTGTCTAAGCTTGGATAACAGAGAAGATCACAAAAACGGTAATTTCACAAGATTCAACAAGCCATTAATTGCAAAAATTACAAAAAAAAAAAAAAAAAAGGTCCAACAATCTAATTACGCAAATCACCCAAAAAAAGAATCAAAGAATTCCAAATAAATCCAGACCTGTTTGAGGGAAGAAGGAAAGGTGATCTTGCCACTTTGAAGCGGAGACCTAACGATTCCTTGAGTGATGTCTCTCCAACTCTTGCACACACAAGCGCAAGAGACAACGCTTTGGCGGATCGGCCACCGATCTTCGCTTGCTTCAACTCTCTGCATAATCTCACCGAGTAGCTCCGGCAACATACTCGCCCAACATCCTTCATGCGAGCCTCGATCTGGACCTTCCACTTCAGCCTCATCACAATTACTACTCGGTTTCGCTTCAATCTGTGTTGCAATGTCTAGGGTTTTTAATTCTTTCAACGATTTTGATAGCGAGAAGGACCGACTGTTGATCCTTCGCGAGAGAAATGATCTTCTCAGTGACATCGGTAAAGTCTCATCTGAAGAGAGAAGAAAGGGAGGCGAGCAAGTGAGAAAATATCGAATGAAGAATTTTCTCGGAAAATTTTGAAAGAGAAAATATTGGTAAGGTGATTTGTCTCTGAATGGTTGCTCCTACTTCACTTAATTAGATCTGGACTGTTAAATTTTAAAAGCTCGACATGTGGTACTGTGATTGTTTTGTTTGACAGGCGTGTGAGTTTATTGGTTGTTTATTTATTTTGGTTGGACCATTTCTACTTTTGACTAGTTCTGGTGAAATAATTAATAAACCTACCTGTAGTGATGAGTTATTAGGTGTGTATTTTTTCTTTTTTCTTTGATTGGTGAACCAAAGTCAACAGGTTACGAACCATATCAAGCATATTTTTGCTAAAAAACGCGTTATCTCATTTCATTTAAAAAAAAAATATCATGGAAAATTTATTTAAAAAATCAAAATTATTTATTTATTTTAATTAAATAAATTAATAAAAAAAATATTTTAATTATTAAATTTTACTAAACAATCTATTTTAAATGTTTTTTGGTACACATGCATTAATTTACGTTAAGTTTAATGAATAAAATACTATTTTTTCATGAATAAATAGTTTAAATTAAAAATAAATAAAAAGATTAATGTTAAATTGATAAAATTAAAATTTTATTTTATAACTATGACCAAGTTTTGGATTTTTTTTCCTTTTTCATAATTTTTTTCAAATAAAATATGTCAAATAAATTAAAAATTTTAAACTTATTTGTAGTTGTAAATTAGCTTTTCCATTGACTCGCAAAAGAAGTGTAGTCCATGTTGTATAAAAACGAAACAAAATTTTCAAGTTGTGTTTTTTAAAACACAAATCTGGAACAAATTATAAATTGAAGCTGATTCATCACTTGTGTTACTATTTATAATAAAATCACTAATGGATGGTTTTGCAAGAATCTTTGCCTGAGACCACTGACTTCAATATTAAAAAAAAAAACTTAAAATTAAAACACTACTTTAATTGAGCAATTGTTTAAAAATGAAAATTTTAATTTTAAGTTAGAATAGTGTTTTGAAAACAAGACTTTTTTAAAACAAATTGATTTTGATAAAAAGTTGAAAACACTTGAGTTTAGGAATTTTATTTTCCGTAATTTTTTTTTAAAAAAAGAATAAATTAAAAATACACCCTCTGAGATTTGATGAAAATATAAATCGCCTCCTATGGTTTTGAAAATTACATTTCACCCTCTGAGATTTCTAATTTCATTACAAATCGTCCCTTTTATTAATAAATTATCATGTCAATTAACAGTTTTTAATGATGTTAATTTAGATTATTTTATTATTATATAGGAAAACAATTATGAATTTCATTTTTTTAGTTATTTCTGTTAAATAAAAAATACTAACGAGGAGGTATTGATAATTTTTCAAACTATGTGGTGCAATCTGTACTTTAAGCAAACTTCAAGGGTGTATTTATAATTTATCCTATAAAAAATCATTCAATCAATTTTTAAATGACCATTTTCATCCCACATTATTGAATATCTTCATCATTTGATATTTATCACGTTATTTTCAAAAACTTAAAACAAGTATTGAATTCTATTATTTTAATTGATGAATATTAATAAAAAAAACATCACAAAAATTTACTTCAAAAATGAAAAAAATGATTCCTCAAAATTATTGTGTCAGACATTACAACATTGTCAAAAGAACCACCTTCAAAATTAATAGCATATGGTTCCAAATTCCTAGCAAAGTCTTCTAAATGAATAGCGCATAGCCCCCAAATCGCTAGCAAAGTCAACAACTTTGAAAATATTTATATGGTCCACGTTTGAAATATTGCAAATTGTTCCTTTGCATGAAGCAAATGAAAATTATACAAAATTATCATGTTAAGTTATTTTATTGAGTTTTATTTTTAAATTTAAAATTTTATAATTGTATGCTATATTAGTTTGTAGTGAAAGTCTATACATTTTTTTTGTAAGAGTGGCATTTTTTCTTCTAAATCCGTTCAATCTTACAATATTTTACAACATAACATCGGCCTTGTTTTCATTTTTATGTTTTTTTTCTTCTTCTATCATTTGTGTTTTATAAACAAAAATAAGGAAAAGTTTGAAAACAAAAATTGTTTTTATATTAGTGTAAAATAAGTAGTTCAAGATTTCTATGAGTAGTTGGATAGGCAAAAATCCAAAAAAATCGATTCACTTCATTTGATTTCAGTTTCTCTATAAATTTTGATTTAAATAATTTTATATTATATTTTTTATTTTTAATAATATTTTTGGACCTACGCATTTTATGGTTGCACTTTTTTGGTATCATTTCTTACTTTTGCATTTTATATTGACAACTATGAAAAATGCAAGAAGACTATTGATGTATGTATGGCTCAAGCTCAATGAAAGTGGAAAAGGCCCAGGAAGGCCCAATAATGAGGGTCAACCTCAATAGCCCATTTCAAAAGGTTATAAAGGAGGAGTAATTATTTGGTGGTCTCTCTAGGTGATTTGAGATATTTTAAATAAGTGTATATTTTTTTTTTTATAAAAAGATATGTAAAAAAGTAGAGAGAAGATATTGATTGATGTGATTCAAAAAAGATAAAAATATGAACTTATTTAGTATATACCAAACAAGGCCAAATTATCAAATTCTCTGTTAAAAAGCCAATAAAAAGTATAGAGTTTAACTTATTTAATTTATAAATATCAAATTAAGACACTACATCGATTCGTCCCAAGATTATCAAACAAATTTTCCATAAAGGAGACCTCAATTGATCAGAAGAATACCAAATTGGTCTGCCAATTAACAAAGGTTAACAAAGCCCACTCTTGACCTCACCGAGTCACTGTGGTCCACGGGTTATAGAATGATCAGCTTATGTTATATGCTCACAATAGTAAGGAAAAATTCTTCATAATAGCGACATAGCATGTTGTGATTGGAGGAGAGATTAATAGAGTAATTGTAGAAGTCTTATATACATATCCAATCATATTATAAAAGTACATTCTACTCTCAACTCTTTGATTATCATGTTTTTTAAACATTGTTTTAATTTGACTGTCACAAGCTCTTAAAAAATACGCTTTATCATTTATTTAAAATCTCAATAGAAAAAAAGTGCAACTAATCACTTTCGAAGTCAAATTCATATTCTCCCTATCTGGTCTATGGATTGCCAATTTGCTAATACCATCAAAGTATAAACTGAAATCAAATCAAACTTTGAGGTTGAGAGGGTAATTTATATACAAATTGGGCCGAGTTGGGCCTTTATGGGCCTCAGTACGAAGGGCTGAGTAAAGAGGTCATAAGGTTACTCCGGTCTTAAAGAGGCTTAAAGTTAGCCCGGTCTCAAGCCCAGAATGTAGACCGGTCTGAGGGACTCTTGATGTTAGTCCGGTCGAAGGACGCTTTGTAGTTAGACCGATTTAAGGATGCTTTGAACTTATACCGGTCATGGCACAGTGAAACAAGGTTGGTCTAAACCGTGGTAAAAGATAGTTCGGTTTTGGGCATACGTGGTTTGTTGAAAACTATGGACAGAGAACCGAACTAGGTATGGTTCGGCTAATCATAGTCGTGATTACTTCGGTCGTATGGTAGATCGGCCATGGAAGAACCATCTCACTTGGTTTAAGCAGTGAGGGGGGGGTTGAAGGATAAGCATTGTCCTTCAGGAGTATGAATCCTAGGAGGACTCTGCATGGAGGAGTAAAAGTCCTACTAAGATAGTGCCACGCAAAACCTATAAAAGCTCATAAACATCACCTATGGAGAGGTAACACAACTTTGATTCTCGAATTTACAGAGCTTCTTATCTACTTGTTTGTTTTTCTGACTTAGGCATCGGAGGGGTTTCCGGCACACACCCGCCTGCTAGCTCACGTTTGTGTTTTCAGGGAGTAAAGCAACGTCGTAAAGAGGAGCGCAGACTTGATCAACAGGATTATACGAGAAGGTTTATTTCTTTCCCGTACAATTGGCGTCGTCTGTGGGAATTCAGACAAGAACAAAACCTCTTGATCAAGCTTTACCTCTTTAGGAACAATGGCGCAAAATGAAGATTTACCACAGTCCGCCATCGACGGGCAAACACCAGATGGGGGTGCAAGGCGTGAAAGACTACCTTTTATCCCTCCCATGGCGGACTTGGAGCCCCAACGACATAACCCCATGAGGGATACTAGGGGGAGGCAGACTAACAACCCCCGTCACTCTCGTTCACAAAGTCTTGACAGGCAAAGGCGGAGGATTGATCCTCAAGTTCTGGAGGACCGCGTGAAGGAGCAAGACAAATTAATAAGGAAGATGGCGGTGGACATGGAGACCTTGAAGCGCCAGATGAAGGAAAAAGGAGTGGCGACAAGAGAGGGGCGCAAAAACAAGACGCCCCCTCGCCGCTCAGAAGACCATGGAAGGCATTCCACACCATCACAAGCAGAGAGTAGAAGCCTCAGGACAGACGATACTCAGTCTAGAACCCCCAGAACTCGTTACTCCAGGTCTGAGAGAACGAGATCATTGAGGTCTTACACAGAGGGAAGTACCTACCGACCCTCACACTCGCACCAAACATCATCCAAACAGACGGAGTTGCCCAAATCATCCGATTTACTGGAGCAGAGACCTACAGGGCGTGTGTCTGCTGTTACCATGCTAGACTTAGTGCCAGCGCCTTCGGTAGTGCAAGGTAACTTCTTGTTGTGTAATTCTATTGCCACTATGTTAATTGATACGGGTGCATCCCATTCATTCATCTTGTCTGCATTTGCATTGTCATTGGGATTAGAATTGACTCAGTTAGTGTCTCCACTCAATGTAGAGTCACCGGTTGGTGGTGAGATTGTTTTGGAACAGGGGTATCGGGGTTATGAGATAGAGGTTATCGGTCGCTGACTTCCTTTTACATTTGTGTTGATTGGCATGTCGAATTTTGGTTGAATTTTGGTTGAAAGAACTTTTATTCCTAGGCCATGTGGTGTCCGAGGAAGGGGTAACCATAGATTCATCTAAGATAGGCGCAGTACAAGATTGGGAATGACCTAAGAATGCCTTTGAGATTAGGGGTTTCTTGGGCTTAGCTGGGTATTATCGATGTTTTGTGAAAGACTTCTCTAGATTGACAAAA